GGTGTATGAGTCAACATGCAGTCGCCGATTTTCTAGTGTTTCTACAAACACGTCTTGTCGGCCAAAAATCAGTATACATGTATAATAACTATTGGTATTGCAAAATCCTATTCTTTGGTATTGTTATGTAAGAAATGTCTCACAGTATCCTATATAATTCTCCCCATTCCACTAAAAAGCGTGAAATAAAATAATTTTAAGAAAAAAAATACACCGACTTCGAAATGCACTAAAAAGTATAAAATAATTTCTATTTCCTAATGAAGTAATTTCTATTTCATTCAATCATACAATTACGTAACAGATATGAATGAAACCTATTTACTCGTTAGGTAGTATATTAAATACATTTCAACCTTTTCGGAGGCGGCGCATAATTAAAAATACCTCAGGAAACGTTGCTGCCAATAACCAGTTGATTGTGGTATGGCGTATTGGAAATTAATGAATCCTGAGAAAGAATACGAACCATTATAGATATATCTCGTAATATACGTAAATGTAACGACTGCATCTTCATTTCGTAACGTTTCTGATATAAATGAAATTGAATGGACTTCGTTCGCATGTGGAAGCCATGGAAGCCGTGCTGTCGAGTTATATGTATAGAAAAAAAAATAGCTATACAAGCTTTGCCTACGTTCGGCTGTCCAAAGGTTGACATGTTCAAGAAAATCTTTTAATTTTGCGCCGCCTCCGAAAAGGTTGAAATGTATTTAATATACTACCTAACGAGTAAATAGGTTTCATTCATATCCGTTACGTAATTGTATGATTGAATGAAATAGAAATTACTTCATTAGCAAATAGAAATTATTTTATACTTTTTAGTGCATTTCGAAGTCAGCGTATTTTTTTTCTTAAAATTATTTTTCAATTTTCTGTAGCAGAATCCTTCACGTTTATTGAATATTTGTATCAACTTAAAATTTTACTCATCCGAATTAATTTATTGAGGAAAATCTAAGAAATGAGTAGAACACTTACGAACAGAAAATCTTGAAACTATGAATTTTTATTTAATTTCTTGAACATGACTGTCGACAATTAGTTTCAAAAAAATAACGATAAATTAAATTGGAAACATTGACACCGTTATTGAATACGTAATTGAAGTCTTCCAATTAGCGATTGAAGTATTGACAAGGGGAAATATAAAGTTCCAGGCAATCAAACAACACAAATTGCAATAATAATTATATAATAATTGTTCATCATTTTCGGAATGTTAGGCCGTTCCAACTATATGTTTATAGTAATTCAATAAAAAACATAATAACTTACGTGTGGCTATTAATACAAAAGTTTTAATAGAGAAATATACTTCTTTTAGTTTTTTACATATTCATAATATGAATGAACCTATGAAAGAAAAAAAAAATTATTAGTGACTTTCTGCAAAATTTCACAATAGAAACTTTTCTACTTTAAGAATTAGAAATTTTTTAATTTTAATTAATTAAATTTATTAAACACATTAAATTTAATAAAAAAGAATGTAATGAGTTCGTAGAAATCCAGAAATATGCATTAAGTTTCTTCATTATATGTGTAATTGAATTTATCGAAAAATATGCATAGGATTTTGAAACGACCTAATATTTACAAGAAAATTGAAAACACATTGCATCGACCAATACATTGATTTAAGTTTTCTATGCAAATTAAAACGGATTCAATAAAATACATTAACATTACCAATATCATTATATCAAGCTCATTTATCATATTTAAATAAATTTAAATTGATAATAATTAATGTATTTAATATTAAACATATTATATGTATATGTAATACATTACATTCAATGTTCAATATATTACATTTATTTATAAAATATTGTGTTATTATTGAAATTGAATCGATGAAATATTATGGAAACTTCTTCACCAACTAACATTGCGCAATTTTAAAATTAGCACATAAGCACAAGCAGCTTTCCGCAGAAAATATATTCTATTTCCGCCATTTGCTAATACGAATTTCGCAGTATCGCACATTTGCTAAACGAATGGTTGCAGTACAGCATACAACGTATTCAAGGCTGTGTATTTGACGATTCTCTTTTACAACACGCGACAATTTCGGCTCGTTTCTAAGGATACCTTCGCGCACGCGACGTGGAAATACTTTTGACTATTCGTTGAAAGAGCTTTTTCTCTGTGCCTTTGCCTTTCAAAGCTCTATGACGGATGGACCGTTTTTCAATAGCATTAAGAATGAACTGTAAACCACGTTCCCTTTTGTCCGAGGTATATTACAAGGATGTCCACTAAGGGCGTTTATATTCGCGATAATCGTCAACTTTTGACACTGCTCCAAAAGAGTGCTTCTCTTTGTGCTGCTCGAGATTCTACGGGCGAAAGCATTTCTCCTTATAAAGGAGTAATACTTTTGATATTTTGCGATGGCTTTAAGCCTTGTGCCCCGTCCCATAACGTTTCCAACACTTTATGAAGGGTCCTTACTGCAGGCAAGTAAGTACACTTAAACCGCTTACACAGAGAAAAAGTTTTCGTTCAGTCGATAGTATATTAACGATACATGCAGAAGCATATTTTTCCCGATTTCCCTTCATAAACGTTCGTGTATTAGAGAATATATTTTACGAAAGAAACTGGTACCAATGGAATTTATTGTCGCGGAAAGGATAACTAAGGTTAATCCTACTGTTCACCATCTTGGCTCTGTAAACAAGTTTCGCATTCTAGAAATGTAAACTGTAAGAATTTTAATACACTATAAGAATTTTACAAGAAAAAAAAGTCTTATGAATTTTTAGAATGCTACGAATAATTATTGATTTGTTTGTACCTGCGAAGTTCTCTTCAATTGCTTCCAAATCGGAGATCAAAGTATATTAAATTTTGGATCAGTGAGCATTTCACCGACTTACTGTGTGAATCAGTGGTTATTCAGTGGTTTTAGCTGCTAAATCAGTAAATTCCTGATCAATCAGTAGCAGCCGTAATATGATTGACGGATTATCGACGAATTTGAAATTGCTTCTAGTGAACATAATATAGCCTTCTTGATTTCAGTCTTAACCATCTGATGTCATGTACATTTCGCACATGTTATGTAATTAATTTGTACAAGGAAGCATGCTTCGTTTAGGATTGTGTACATTTACAATGTACAGAATAAATAAGACGAGTACAAAGTCAGACATAAATCAACACAGATTTAATGATTTAATGAATTAATAAAATATACCAATGTTTCATATAATTTTGCATAATAAAACACAACTATCGTATCGGTATTTATAAATTCTCTAACATAATTTAATACACTTTAATATAATTTTAAAAATGTAGCTTGAAAAGCGAAACTGTATGTCGCAATACTTTTCTGACCGACTGTACTTTTTAAAAAGTTTGACACAACATAAATTCATAAACTTCCGTTATCTAATTATAAATAAACTGATATCGAACCTTCATTGAACAGTTTGTTTTTATGTCCATTATAATCCCGAAACGGGTCACAAATGTCAATAAACCAAAAGTTCACATAATGTTAGAATTTCATAGCCCGTACAGGTGCTCCTATATTTCAGACAATTTTTCCCACAGTGTGCCATTCAACGTCACGGTTTGCGCTGTTTTAAAGCAGTTTATATGGAAGTGTCGACCCGTTAAAAGCTTCGTGAACACTTTCACCATGTTCAATAAGCGTTCATGTGAGTTTCACACTGAGAAATCGTTCCGTTATAGGTCTTTTCAATATCTATATCTTAGTATTCGATTTCGTTCGTGACCGGTTACGTGACGATTTCCAATTTCGTTCTATATAGTTAACAAATCGAATGAAACGATCTGTTCAGTGTGACCTACATATATTTACTCCGAACATGGTTGTGGAGATACGTGTAGATCCCAAAATTGGCAAACAAAAAGTTCGGATTTTCCTGATACATGTTTGAATATAAGTTTGCGTGCGATTCTTTAGCGAGAAAGTAGTTCATTACGTAGAATTTAAACTATTCTTACTGTTCGCGCGATGGGTAAAATATAAACTGTTTACAGTTATTTACGAAGGTTGTAAATCTTCGTCGACCCATGGCGTTTCCAGAACCTGTTACAGTAGTGGAATATTTTTATAGTTACTATTATAAGTAGAATTTATAGAGTGGTTCAGAGTCCTCCACACTGGTGTGTCCAGGTCATTGAAGGATGTAGATCATCATCCCACTAGTTATAATGGTTGTTATGTGTTGTTGTAGTTGATAGTTACAAAGCTAATCTAAGACTGACTAGTTGCCTCTAAACAGTCAGAAAAGAAAGCACAGGAAGAAGTTCAGGACGTGAAGGCGTTGCCAAAAGGGACCAATCAGGACTGATTGTTATTTGTAAAAAACAGTGATGGTGAGATGGTTCGACGAATGAGATTGTAAGATTTTAGCCTTCACTCCAGGGTTGTAAATAACGTTTCGTTAATCAGGTGACCCAAACAGTTAAGTGATTTGGGTCTTTCAAAAGAACTAAATAATGGGACACATTGCGAGACTGCTGAATGACCGAGTCAGGGTGCCTGGTCCGCCGAGTACGCAAGGATTTTCGTAAACACTGCACACAGCAAGGGTGCACAGTTTAGGACTATGGACATAAACTTCTTTAAGGAAAGATATATTGGCGTTATAAAGATGTGCTTTTCTGGCCTGTTAAAAGGCTATTGTCAATAGTTAAGAATGTCAAGCTGTAGAGACATCCATGTGATCTTGAAGATCCGTTTGAAATTGCAAGAGTAAAGGTTTGACAAAACACCCATAAATATTACGCTGATTATATTCCGAGTGACTCGGAACACTTACGGTAACGTTTCCTTATAGGTTTGCAAAAATTAATATATCCGATATTCAGTGTTCATGATAAATAATTGAATTAATTATGTATCAACTGCTTTGCAATGTTCGTAATGTGTCATATCATAACACTCCTCCTCTTATTTTGAATTTTCGTTAGAAAATTCATAAAGGTGGTACTTGGAATCTGACCGTTGGTTTTTTATGTCGGCGGTTCGTTGATATTGGAATTCTTGCTGTTTCTTCTTCTCCATTCTTTTCTTCTTCTAAGGTATGGTTATTGGCCGATGCTGAATAGGTGACTGTCTGTGGTGCTGTTGTGTATCTATGTGTACCTCCCATCGTAGTATTGTAACAATTATTATATGTACATGGTCTCAATCCGCAAAGTTTCCAAATTTTGAATTTAAAGGAAGCATATACAGGGTGTCCGCGCCAAAGTGTTACACCTTAATATCTCATGAACTATTGATGTCACGAAAAAGTGCTTATATGGAAATTGCAGGGTAAAAGAGGCCCTATGTTTTGGCAGAAGCAAAATTTTTTTATTGTTATTAATGTAAAAGATATGATGGTGAAGTTTCGTTTTTTTAAATGGAACTATAATTTTTTCTCGATCAGGCGATAGTGCTTTTCAAGACGAATTCATCAAGGTTTTATGTACTTACCCGATTTTTATTAGTTTTCGAGATATAACGCTTAGAAATTTACTGATTTTCAGCAGTGACATCTCGGTTTGACGAGTAAGTCATAAAAACGTTCTTATTGTTACGGTAAGTGCCGCTGGTTTGACTCTGCCTGCCGAAACAGATAGGCGGGGTGTATGGTCAAAATGGCAGGTCCGAAGAGTAAGAAACGTGAAAAGTATTGTCCATTACGGTTTAAGTTTTCCGTATCGAAGATGATATTAATTGTAATTTGGAAGATTGGGACATTTATTTAAATGTTTCAGTACAAGGTAGGTATAAAGACAATTTAACAATATAACTGACTTGAAAAATAGAATACACAATGTATGCGCAAATGTTCCATGCGAAATTATGGAAAAGGTCGAGAATCAATTTGTCAAACGTTTACAAACTTGTATTTTAAATAGCGGAAAGCATGTAGAATAAATTTTTTGCATATCACTTTTTGTTAAGTTGTCTTTATACCTACCCTCTACTGAAACATTTAAATAAATGTCCCAACCTTCCAAATTA